AGCTAAATCAGAACAAAGGGACAAAGAACCTTGATCTTCTCCGGCTGGGTCATCGTGTGACAGGACCCAGGGCTGGGCAAGGGAATCGTGTGTCCACTCTATCCTATTTGGGGGAATCTCCTTCTGAACAGGCATGTGGGGAGGCTGGTGACAGGACAAATCCCTTCCCGTCTCAGAACCACGGGCCTCTGGAGCAGCACTGACCAATACAACTTTCTGACATGACAGAAGTATTCAGTATCTGTGCTGTCCAGTATGGCGGCCCCTAGCCACCAGTGCCTTCTGAGTACTTGAAATGTGGAACTGAATTTTACATTTGATTGAATTTTAATGAATTTAAATTTAAATAGTGCCCTATGGCTAGTGGCTACCCTATTGAATAGAGCAGCTCTACAGCCGTAAGGCCTGTGGGCATCTTCCTAGAGAGAGGAGGAGGTCATTGAGACACAAGGAGACTAAGGGATTTGCCCAAAGGCATCCAGTGACTCCAAGGCAGAACTGAACCAAACCTAAGTTTTTTCTTATTCTAGGGCCATTTTTTCCTGCATCACCCCTGCATACTTGGAGACTTCAGCCAGGCTTTTCAAAGGCTCCATGCCTTCCTACAGGTTAAGTAGCTACCCATGACCACGATGCTCTTCTGCCCCACATCCTCTCTCTGAACGGTAAACTCCTACCCATTCTTCAAGATCCAATTCAAACATGGCGACCTTCTCTCCACTTTCTGGCAGTTCCTGCTCCTTCCCCATCTTCCTGCAACATTTTGTCTACTTAGCTTCCAGAGCACTCATGATGTAATTAGCTATTTATTTGTCTCCCCACTTGACTAGAATTCCCGAGACGCACAGGCAGTGTTTTATTCTTCTCCCTGTCTCCAGAATCCAGCACAGGAGACTGGTCAACGAACATGTGTGGGATCAACATACTGAATGTACTACAATCGGCAGCCTCCAAATAAGAACAGACCTTTCCCAGAAGATGAGGAGGTGAAACGAGGGATCAGGATGCCTGGGTTCTGTTTGTGACTCACGCTCAGTTGCTAGGTGAGCCTGGGTAAATCATGCCCCCTCCGTGGGCCTGAGGGGGTTGGACTGGGTCATCTCTAGGGCAGGAGCCAGCCCCCTCTCAGGGTCTGAATCTGAGGGACTCTGGGCTCAGTAACTTGAGCAGAGCTGGAGGGGGTTGTGGGAAGCAGTGGTCGGAGGTGGCCGCAGACGATAGCAGGAGCTGCTGGGAATGAGGCCTGAGGTCAGTGAGGCTGAGGGGCTGTCAGCAGACACCACCACATCAGCAGCTGCTGCTGGGCCACTGGGCTGGGAGAGGACGACGGAGCCCTAGACAGGGCGGAGGGAAGACTGGGACAGCAGCAGAGCTTGGAACCGTCCAAACCAGAAAGAGGAGAAAGACAGAACAAAACAAAATACTTATTGCAGAAAATCCGTGTCTGGTCAGTCTCCCCTCCCTGCCTCCTTCCCTTCCTTCTTTCCTTCACATCACGCATTCGCTCAATATTTCTTCGCAGATTTCGGGAGCTCGGAGCTCTCAGATCATTAGACAAAGAAGCTGAGGCCCCAGATCGGGAGATGACTTACTCCAGGTCACATGGGGAACTACTGGCAAGTCTGGGACAAACAGCGCAGGTGCCTGCCTTCTCAGCTGTACCAAACCACCGTGGGACTGACGGCCAATTGTGCGCCTCACTGGCCTGCCCAGGACTCCTTGTGCGCTGTCACCTCCTTCACGGGGGACCTGGAGTGCCCGTCAGCCCTGCCAGGAACAGCAATCTCTTCCAGGGAGGACAAGGGGACTAGGGTGGTCCTCGGCCTCCTCCGGGCCTCACTCCTTGCGGAGTGGCTTAATTGGATGAGCCTTGGACTTGGAACCAGACGGTTCTGAATTCAAGTTCCTAGAGACTTTTTTTTTTTTTCCTGGATGAATTCAGAAAGTCACTCATCTCTCAGAATCAGCTTCTTCATCTATAAAATGGAGATAATTATCCGTCACAGGATTACGTGTTGAGGTTTAAATGAGATGGTGTGTGCGATCATGCCTCCAAGACTGATTCAGTAAATGTTCTGTGAATAAACACAACGAGAAGGCAAAGAAAGAGCAGCCCTGTCGGTGGCCTCTGGCCTGGCACTTACAGCGAGGCCGTGGCGTTCTCCTGCTGGACACCAGTAAGTTCACAGAACACCAACACCAGACAAGGTCACCGTAATCATGACACGGCAAGGCAAAAACATACCCCTCCATAATCACATCTGAATACAGACAAAAACAAGAGTACTGTGCAAAATCGTAAAAATGACCCACATCCCCCTCTCTCGGGAACATGGGAGATGGTGGTGGTTTCTTGACCAATTATAGACTTAGTTCTCCCCCATTCTTCCCTGTCTTAGATAAAAAGATACCTAATCGCAGGATTGCCTCTGCCTTCTGACAACACCTAATGCAGAGCAAACTCCTGCTTACAACCAGGCCCTCCTAGCACCCCTTCACCGACCCCAAGCTGCCTCACGGAGCGCCGTGTCCCTCATTCAGCAAGTAGCAAAACCCAAGCTTGCTTCACTACAGGTGTGTTCCTAGTGGCCTTCTGCTATGGGGTATTAACAAAGATATAAATGATGGGAGTGCAGCCCCCGTGGTAGAATAGTGGAGGGATACACACATACACACACACACACACACACACACACACCATGTATGTATATATAGATGCATATACATTATATATATGAATTTTCTGTCTGAAGGATCTTTCCCTCAAATCATACAGTACAGATGACTTACTATTCTGCTTATCGATGAAATTGGCCATTTGGTCTAACCAGCCTCTGGTAAAATTTGGAAAATAACCGTCATAGACAAGGGAAGAAACTGAGACAAGGAGAGAGATTTTTATGGAAATCTTACCACGTGCCAGACTTTATCTTATTCAGTCCCATAGCCATTCTGTGGGGGTGGGTACAGTGTTATTTCCTGCAGTTTACAGATAGGGAAACTGAGGCTTGCAGAAGCTTGGTTAGTGTTTGGCTGGGACTTAAAGCCCGTGCTCCTTACACCCAGCCTGTGAGCTCCTCTACCCTCCCAGGGCCCACTCTGCCGCCCTGTCCCTGTGTGCCCTGGCAAACCAGGACCCCTAAATCCGGCTTCTCTAAACCCACAGGCCTAGGTAAGCCCTAACAATTAGTCACGAGTACAGCATAATCCATCAGAGATCAGAAGCCCTTCGTGCATTCTCATTTTATAAGTGGGGAAACTGAGGCCCAGGGAAGTAAGTCCCCTCCCCTACCTGGGCTTCCTTCCAACAATTGGCAGAGCTGATTCCTACCAACTTGCAAGGGGCAATGCCATGTAGCTCCTCCCAACTCGGTGTTCAGTGACATCCCTTTGGGAGCTTGTTATCAGCCGCGGTATGAGTATTTACACCATGGATATTGGCGAATGCTATAAATCAGAGTTTTTGTTTGTTTGTTTTTATTCCTTCAGAAGAGAGCCGGTTAAAACATTTACTAGCACACCACTGGCGTCCTCCCACCTGTAAGGAAAAGGAACTGCAAACAGTAGTGGGGATGTGTTTGGGAACAGCTCCCACCAGAGTCCAGGCCAACTGAACCTCCACCTGGCGTGGCTGTGATTTTATCACTCATATCCATATGTTTTGTGATTTATTTGTGTCAGAATAATCCGAGGGTCTTGATGAAAATGTCTGAATCAGATGCTCCGGAGGTAGGGCTCTGGAATCTGCATTTAAATAGGTCTCCTCCGGTGACTTTTTTGGCTCCTGAGTTTGGGTATCACAGCCCTACATCCTCACTGCCTTACCACATGATGCCGCAGACACAGACGGCAGAGTTTAGGCCCACAAAAATATGCAATTCAGCCTCCATTCTTTTTATGATTACTATTATTTATTTGTTGGAGAGAGAGCACAAGCAGGGGCAGAGGGAGAGGGAGAAGCAAGCTCCCCGCTGAGCAAGGAGCCCAATGCGGGACTCATCCCAGGACCCTGAGATCATGACCTGAGCCAAAGGCAGATGCTTAACCGACTGAGCCACCCAGCCGCCCCAGCCTCCATTCTTGAATGCTTGCCATGTGCTAGCTGAGGGTGAATGAAGACAGGCCTGGGTCTGCTTCCGGCTTCTTTCCTCTGTCTCTGAGGTGATGTAGAGAGCTCACCGGAATCAGGCAGAATTCCACTCATGTCACCTCCCAGAAAGTTTCACATAAGTTTGCCTGCTGGGAAGTTCCAGTAGAATCTAGAAAATGTATAGCTAATTTTCAATTATCCACACAATTTGAAGCAGAATTGGGTTAGAGTCCTGGGTATGGTTTCCACTAGATGTGGGATCTAAAGCAAGTCCCTTAACCTCTCTGAGGTTCAGCTGCCTCCTCTGTAAAACTAGCATCTTCCCTAGAGTTTATGAGACTCAAATGAAATAACACTGGGAAGGCAGACTCGTTTATACAGTGCTAGGCACACATTTATCTCCTTAGCTCCCTCACCTTTGCAGGTGGGCCCTCCTTAGCTCTAGCACCATGGGACTGTCTCCCTCACCAGGCTGTGAGCACCTCAGAGAGGGACCTGAGCTTACCCACCTGCGGGTGTCCTGCACATAATAAGTATTTCCTAAAGGTCTGGTTTAAATATGAATGTATGACCTACATGTAGATATAGACAGATAAAGCCACCCATGCATAGACACACATAGACACTGGTATGGGATTATTCGCAGAGAGGTGACATGGAATTGTAAATGGAGCACAGGGCTTGGGGTCAGGAGTTTTAAGTATTAGGGTGGGAAACTGTATCCACCGCTGAACAATAAATTATCACAAACGTAGAGGCTTAAAACAACCCGTCTTGGGCGCCTGGGTGGCTCAGTTGGGTTAAGCGACTGCCTTCGGCTCAGGTCATGATCCTGGAGTCCCAGGATCGAGTCCCGCATCGGGCTCCCTGCTCGGCAGGGAGTCTGCTTCTCCCTCTGCCCCTCCCCCCTCTCATGTGCTCTCTCTCATTCTCTCTCTCTCAAATAAATAAATAAAATCTTTTAAAAAAAAAACAAAACACATCTTGATGAGCTCACAGATTCAGGAATCCAGTGTAGCTTAGTTGAGCCGTCCACCTAGAGTCTCACAAATCTGCAGCCGAGGAGTCAGCCAGGGCTGCAGTATCATCAGAGGCCCAATTAGGGAAGCGTCTGTCTCCTCACTCAGGTCATTAACAGGCTTCAGTTCCTTGCAGCTGTACAACTGAGACCTTCACTTTCCTGTCGGCTGTTGGTCAGAGGCTGCCCTCAGCAGCTAGAGTCGCCTGTAGTTCCTTGCCACGGGCGCCTCCCAACGTCGGCATCCCATAAGATGGCAGCCTGCTTCTTCAGGGCCAACCAGGGACTTAGAGAGAGACACCAGCAAGATGGGTCCTGCAATTTTAAGTCATGTAACCATGTAACCACTTATGTCATAATGTGTACCCCATCCATTCCATCACCTTTGTTATATTCTATGTTAGCAGCAAGTCCCAGACCCTGCCCACACTCTCGTGGAAGGACTTACGGTCTCTCCACCACAGGAACTCAGATGAACCTCATGAAGGATCTTCCTTGTAAAGCTGGCAGACAGATTTGGGGCATGTTAGAGGTCTGAGAGACCTTCTAACCATTTCACTCTCTACAGGAGAAAACAGAAGCCCAGAGAGATGGAATCACCAATCAGTATACAGCATAATCAGACTGGAATCTAGACCCCCTGCCTTCCAATTTCCATTCTACTCTATTGCTTCTCTCCCTGCTTTTTGTCAGGACTTTGAGGCCAATAGACAAAAATTTAGGTGACACTTGGAAGACGTAACTCAGTGGACATTGGAATGTCTTGGAATAGCTACAGAATAAATCCAGATTCTTCGTATATGACATTCAGGGCCCTTTGACTACCTGGCCCAACCAAGCTTTCTTGTCTCAACTTTTACCAGCTCCCCCTGGTATGTTCCTTCACAGAAAACTATGTGCAGCTTTTCCACCAGGAATGCCTTTCTCTTTCTATGCCTAGAAAACAAAAAAACAAAAAAAATCCACAAATAAATAAACCTACTTATCTTTTGAGTCCCAGTTCAGATGCCACCATCTCTGTGAAACCCTCCTTAATTCTTGTAGGCAGAACTAATCACTCCCTCCAATCACTTAGGATTTTGTTCAGTCTCCTGTATACCCCTTTTCATATGTATGATAGTTGTTTTTGAGTTCCGCTTCTCCTGTGAAACTCAGACCTTAGATTAGGGTTATTAGAAAGATGTGAAACCAATTTGGTTTAAACCAGTCCATCCTGTCTGCTGGCTTTGTCAAGAGACCCCCACAGCCTCTCCTGCTGAGCTGAAACACAACCAAGGTTAATGAGAGTATTTATTTCAAAGTAGATGTCTCCAGAAGCTCACTGCAAGTCAAGGAAAGGCTAGTTAGATCCCCACCCAATCACATTCTCCTCGACCATTCCCTTAGCCCTTTGCTCTGATCAGTAAATCTCTACTGATTTATTGAACAGAATTGGACTGTCATTCAACAACCATAATTGATGTCTACCAAAGAGATGCATAAGACTTAAGAAAAGGGCATGAAAAATCTAAAGCATGTGGGCTTTAGAACCAAAAAAGTTTGATTCAAAGCCAGACCCAACTACTTATCAGTTCTATGACCTTAAACAAGTCACTTAACTTCTCTGACCTCAGATTCCTCAGCTAAATAGGGGATAACGATGTCTGCTTCCTAAGCGCTGCTGTGTGCATTACATGAGAGGATATATGTGCCTGGCCCAGGGCAGATGCTGTGCCCTTGACCCATCCACGAAGAATCACGAGTCACGCGGCAATACTTCTCATCCTCTGTGATGGATGCTGTCACAGACAGGAAGTCCCGGGTGAATGGAGGGACTCATTATATCGTACAGAAAAGGAGGAAGGGAAAGGCTTCAAACAGGATGAGCAGGAATGGCCAGGAGGACATTCCAGGCAGAGGGACCAGAAAGCACAAAAGCAGGCTGTCCTCACACCTTGTCTTCATTTCATCTGCTTCCAGCTTAGGTGGCATCTAGGCCCTGAAGTTAACAGAGAGATAAGACAGCATCTTCTTCCGTGACAGATGACTGACATTTTTATTTCTTTGCCATACCAAAGAAAGCGCCTTCTCTCTCAACCAGAAATATGAAATAATCCAATTTGCAGCTAAGTTAATGCTGAGAATTGAAATGCACTGGATTCTAAAGTTCTGATTCTAAGAAGAATGTCAAATGAGTCTCATTCCCAGTACATGTGATACATTTTAAAATGTTTTACCGAGTGTGAGGCTATCAAAATTGAGACATATTATGACCTGTGGGTGATAGAGTTGCTGTGGGAGCTCTTTGAACCTTCTAAGATTTTACATCCATGATTGCATGATCTAAATATCTTCAACCCCCCGAATCCTAGAATGTTAGCTATGGAGGACCCCGCAGAAGTTCAACCTCCGCATCTTCCTGATGGAGAAACTGAGGCCAAGATGTGGGGAATGAACTGCCTAAGACCATAATTTCTGACCCTGGGATGTAGGCCTGTCAACGTCGAGTCCAAGGTTCTTTCTGCTGTATGACAGTTACCTACTCCTGAGGGACTGTTAAAAGTTTAGGGTGGGTTTTCTCAAATTGTATAGTTCCATACAATTTGAAAAGGATTCATTTCCTTTGCATCCAATCGGCCGTGGTTTGTTTGTTTGTTTTTTTTAAGATTTTATTTATTTATTTCAGAGACAGCGAAAGAGGGAACACAGGCAGGGGGAGTGGCAGAGGGAGAAGCAGACTCCCCGCTGAGCAGGGAGCCTAACACTGGGCTTGATCCCAGGACCCTGGGATCATGACCTGAGCCGAAGGCAGACGTTTAAACGACTGAGCCACCCAGGCACCCCCAATCAGCCATTTTTAACAAGGTCAATACTAATAGGTTTTATCAAACCTCAGGCTCTTGACCATGCCCTTAGTATTTAGGCCCTGAAGGTAATAGAACCTTAAAGTAGAAAGGGATTTTGGAGGTCTAGCTTGCTCAACTCCCCTTCCACCAGAGAAATAGCCTTCTTGAGCATATTCAGTAATGCATTCATTTCTCCCAAGGGTATTCAGCCCACTGTGTGGCCAGGACTCCACGTTTCAGCAAGCAGAACTCTGTTTCTCTGTCTACTCTGTCCATTAAGAGAAAAGGAAGAAGGGAAAGGATGCTTACTTATTGAGCACCATTCGGGTACCAGGCACATGTGAGGGGCTTGGGTATATCACCTCATTTGGTTCTTAAAATATCTCTCTAAAGTAGATGTGATCATTCCAATATATGACCGAAAAAAAAAAAAAAAGACTCAGAGAGTTTCAATAATGTGCTCAAGTTCATCCACAGTAAGTGGAAGATTCAAGCCCATGTTAACTCTTTGGAATGTCCTGCCTCCCCTGCCTTCTGTCTCTCTTCCATAAAGCCTTTCGGCACGCCACACTACAGCATCCTTTCAAAATAAAAAATCCCCCGCTTAAATGCCTTTGATGGCTCTTCAATACCCACTTGAGGTAAATAGTCCAAGCTCTTTACCTTAATATCCAAGGCCCTTGACAATCTGGCTCCCACTGGACTTTGCAGGCTCGCTCCCCTCTACTCCGCCAGCGCATCTGAGGTTTTCCAGGAGGATGCCTTTCTATCTGCACTTGCTGCCTGAATGCCCTTCCCTTCTCTGCCTAAAGCTCCGCAGAAGATGTCACCCCCTTGATGGGGCCTTGCAGGCTCTCTGCAGAATTCATTCTTCTCTGCCCTCCTCCAGCACATCGTACACACCCCCTTTTGCACTGTTTCGGTCCTGCGTAGTCTAAGACCCTCTGGGGCAGGGATTGTATTTTACTTTGCTTTGCATTCTCAGTTCTTGACACATAATAGTAAATGCTATACATATTTATGGACTAGAATGGAGGCTTAATCCTTTTCTGGATGTGAATCCTTCCATTACCTGAAGACCTCTCTGAGACCTGCCTATGCCATTCTTTTCCTAGTTATTTCTTCTCTAGACCAGAGAGTCCCAGCTCCTTCAGCTGTTTCTTGTAAAGTCCAATTTCCAGAATCTTGGGGGTTCCTGGGGGGCTCGGTTGGTTAAGCGTCTGCCTTCGGCTCAGGTCACGATCCTGGGATTGAGCCCAGGGAGTCAGCAGGGAGTCTGCTTCTCCTCTCACTCTGCCCCTCCCACCCCTGCTCCTGCTCACTTTCTCTCTCTCTTTCAAATAAATAAAATCTTTAAAAAAAAGTCTGATTTCCAGATTTTTATCATCTTGGTCATTTGCTTCTGGGTGACAATTTGTCAATATCCCTCTTTTAAAATATGATGCCTAGGACGCAACTTAGGAGATCGGATGAAGTCTGGCTACACCAGAACAGAGTTAAGAGGATTCCACCGTCTGATTTAGAGGTAACATTTCTTTAACCATGTCTGTGTGCCAGGCATTTCTGCCTACTTTATCTTCTTTCACTCCTGCAATAATCCGGCAAGGTAGGAGTTGTTTTTCCTGCCTGATAGATGAGGATACTAGCCATCTGGTAAGGTACTTTGAGAACAAGTTAACTTAAAGTCACACACCCAGAGCACAAAGCGAGCTTGCGGCCAACTGATACCTTGAGCTCATTTTGACGTCAACCGCTGTCAAGTTATTTTTTTTTCTTGTTACCAGCTAGTAACAGGCTTAAGAGTAACTGAGGACAAAAAGAATCTGTGCCTTTAGAAGGGTGTGGAGCCACAGCTCAGAGAAAAGGTAGGTTGGGTTAATGACCAACTTCCTAACAATAACAGCCTTTATCTAGGACCTCAGACAGAGTCTGGAATTTCTCAGCCACGTAGCTTCCTAGAACTATTTTTATTTGGTATCTTACAGAAGGGAAAAGAGCAGAAATGTCTTAATCAGTGAGATTTGGGTTCAGCACTTCTCTGCAAAGCCCTCAGACCATCAGAATTTGAGCAGCCAGTCCAGGCAGGGCCCTGTGAGTTACAGAGTAGGCAAGAAGGAGGTTGCTGCTCTGGTCTATGGCCTGGGCCTGCGAGGACCCCACTGCACACATCATTCCATAAATATCTACCGAGCATCACCGTGTTTCACGTATGGTGTGAAGTGCTGAGCACGTAATGAAGATTCTAGAGTCAGTTCCAGCCTTCTGGAGCATATCATCAGCTGGAAGACAGGTGCAGAAGCAAATGATACGTACGTGACCTAGGAAGTGTAATGATGAAAGGATTTGCCCAGGCTACTAAGGGAGCAAGAGAAAGGATATTTAACCTGTCCTGGGCGAGGGTGAAGACAAGGGATCAGGGGAAACTTTAGCTTCACGGTTGAGCAGGAGTTAACCTGGTGAGGGTAGGAGGAAGAGACAGAAAAAAGAAGAAATTCCAGGTATGAGCAGAGGCTCAAAGGCATAAAGTTCCCATAGAGTATAGAAAAAATTACAGGCAGTTTGGTGCTTAATTACACTTCAAGAGGCTGGGGAGGTAGACAGGATTATCAAGTGTGTGTTGTGTGTGAGGCACTGTGATAAAACACTCACATACAAGGGGTGCCTGGGTGGCTCAGCCGTTCAGCATCTGCCTTCGGCTCAGGTCATGATCCCAGGGTCCTGGGATCCCACATCGGGC